GAGTTGAGGGGGTTGGGGGATGGAGTTGAGGGGGGTTGGGGGCTGGAGTTGAGGGGTTGGGGGCCAGGGTTGAGGGGGTAGGAGGTGGGGGCCCTGCAGTGAGACGGTTTAGGGGCCAGAGTTGAGGGGATTGGGGGCTAGGTTTGAGGGGGTTGGGGGGCCGGAGAGAAGCTGGAGAAGCTGACAGGGACCCACCAGAGGCCCTGCTTTTCCAGGAAGCAGCTGGACACCCCGATGTCGACGTCTCGCGCTGCCCTGGGAGTCAGCGCCCCTTGCCTGCCCCTCTTACAAGTCCCCCACTTGGGACTCTGTGGTTCCCACATGCCAGGACCCCCTGCCAGGAGCAGTAACCCCTGAATGCCCACCTTCCACAGGTGCAGCTAGAGCAGAACCCTGAGACAACCCTTCCCCACCCCACGCAGCTTCCTTCTGCCGCCCCGGACTTCCCTTCAGCTGCTGCCGCCATCAAAGGCAAACTCAGCACTTGCCTTGGACACACACAAACACACGCACACACACACGTTCTGTTCACTTCCTGTTATTGTTTGGTACATATCTCTGTCCCCCACTGGGTTACAGGTTCTTTACTAAAATTATAAAAGCTCACAGCACTTTGAAAATTACAAAGAATTATAATGTGCAAAATTAGACATAATTCAAGAATAATGACTTCAGATTTATGATTTTACTTGGACACTCTCCGCATTCAGTCACACAGCCTCTTGCTAAATGGCCCTCAATCTTGGCAGCACGTTCTAATCACCTGGGAATTGCTAAAATGCACAGTATGGCTGGAGCCACCCCGTCCAACCTCCCGCCCCACCCTCCAGATCTGGATTAAGCTGGTCTGGGGAGGGCCCATTCAGGGATTTTTTAAAAAAGCTCCCCAAGTGACTGTAATGTGCAACCCAAATTGAAAACCGCTGCTATACTGGAAAAGCTTAAATTGTTCAACATTTCCTAAGCATTTACCAGAAAAAATCAAACCCAGTGCTGTCTAGTCAACTTCGACCCATAGGGACCACACTATTGGTGGCTAACAAGGGTGCCAGGTGAGGCAGGCCGTCCAGGGATGAGCAGATGAGGTCCCTGCCCCCCGGAAGCCCCTGACGGAGCTGAATGGGAGAGCAGAACTCTCAGCCCACCCAGCTGAAGCGAGTGTTAGGGGAGAGCACAGTGTCCCGGGAGGAGAGATGAAGGGGCTCTAACCTGAAGGGCTCTGGGAGGAGAATTCAGGCGTGAGCCGCTGGGGCTCCATCCTCAGCTTGGGTTAGAAAGGTCATCCGGCACATGACCCGAGAGATCTCCGCCCATGATTTCACCACCATTCACCTGACGCTGTCTTAGACCTGTGTCACTGTGATGCTGAAAGCGGTGCCATCATTATTTCAAATACCAGCAGGGTCACCCAGGGAAGACGGGTCTCAGGGGAGGTGACAGACTAGACAGACTGCAAGGAGTCCAAACTTGACCGCAGTCCAAACAATCGGCCAGGGAGACCTTGCAGGTAGCACCCTACCACTGGCTCACGGACTGCGGGGAGATGAGCCCCTGGGGCGGAAGGCCCTCAAAATCCAACCAGGGAAGGGCTGCCTGTTCAAAGTACAGTGGACCCTAGAGACGAGGATGTGGCAAGAGTCAGAGTGAGAACAAGCAGTGGCAAACACCCACTCGTAATTGGAACATGGAACGTACGAGTATGGATCCAGAAAAACCAGAAGCCATCAAACATGAAATGAATGCATAACGATAGATCGCCTGGCCATTCCAGGGCCGCCACGTCAATTTGGGTTCATAGCGACCTTATAGGAGCTCTGGTAGCATAGTGCCTAAGGCACTTGACTGCTAACCAGAAGGCTGGCGGTTCAAACCCACCAGCCACTCCTCAGAAGGAAGGCTGGGCAATCTGCTTCCGTAGTGATACTGCCTGGGAAACCCAAGGAGGGGTCACTATGAGTCAAGTCCGACTTGATGCCACATAACAACAACAACAACAACAGCAACCTTACAGGGCAAAGCAGGACTTCTTAGAGGGTATCCAAAGCTGTGCATCTTTACGGAGGCAGACTGCCTCATCTTCCTCCCCTGGAACGGCTGGTGGGTTTGAACCACCAACTTTCATTTAGCACTCAAGTGCTTAACCACTGTGCCACCAGGGTTCATCCCAGGCATTAGTGAGCTGAAATGGACTGGTATTGGCCATTTTGAATCAGACAATCGTTGGTGGACGATGCCAAGAATGACAAATTGAAGAGGAATGGTGCCACAGCCAATGTCAACATTTCAAGATCTGTCCTGAAGCACAATGCTGCCACTGAAAGGATAATATCCATATGCCTACGAGGAAGACCAGTTAATGCGGTCTTTACACACCACTCACTAATGCCAAAGATGAAGAAATGGAAGATTTTTTACCAATTTCTGCAGACTGAAACTTATTAAACATGGAATATGCATTGATAATTACTTGTGATTGGAATGCAAAAATTGGAAACAAGGAAAAGGCTCAGGAGTTGGAAAGTATGGCCTTAGTGACAGAAATGACAGAGATCACAGCATACAATTTGCAAGACTAAGGACCATCAGTCAGAACAAGGCCAGGAGCCAACTGTGGAAGAGACCGTCCACTGTTCAGATGCAGGTTCCAGCTGAAGCGGAAGACAATTCCAACAAGGGCACAACCGCATGGCCCTCAGCCTACAGACTGAGACCAGCAGAACTAGATGGTGCCCCGCCACCACCCTCAGAAAGCCAGCAAATAGGAGGTCCTGGATACGGGGAACAAAACTCAAAATTATATTAAAAAAAAAAAAAAA